TTGCATTCTGAAATAGTTAATAAATGCTCAAGGAAAACGAAAACTTTCTGAAAACTACAGTTAGGTTCATTTAAGGTTTGAAACCCCATATCTTGATTTGAATCTTTAAATTTCAATCTTTTACATGCGAAAAGCTTTCAAACTTTCTAAATATAACTTTTCAAAGTTTCAAAATTCAAAAATTTTATTACTTGATATGAGGAAAATACAAAAAAAAGTCTTACCAAGCTGACATGTTTCAGCGTCCCAACACGACAACATGTGGTCACGTTTGTGACAACGGTGTTCATTCTGTGGCACGCAATCATCGCTACATAAGTCTGAAGCGTTTTTTTTCTTTTATAAGAATCTAGTACTTTATAAGGGAAATTGGAATCACCAAGAAATAAAAAATCTTTCAAGTTATTGAAATTTTGTAATTCCAAATAAAATTTAACAGCTACGTCAAGATAATAACATTACATAATATTAGTATTAAAACTATGGGTGAAATGAATTTCAATAATGATAATAATAACAATAACAAGTTATTACATCAACTAATTAGGATTAATTAATGATGGTAATTCCAGTGATTAATGGCAGAATGATTCGCAAATGAGACAATTTACGTATGAGAAGTGGAAAAAATTTTTTCGTTTTTACCAGAGTCGGTTCCTCTGTTCTGGTCAGTCAGAATATCATTAGCGGGTCCAATTAATATTTGACTCCAGTCAATATATCGACTATAACAAAGTTGGGTATTATCCATAATTCGCACACCACCATTAATAATTGTTGTCAGCCTTGGTAGGCCAATTTCGACCAAATGCGTATTCTGATATATCACGAGCGCATAATTCATGATTAATTCTTGTCCACCAATAATACGTAGATTAGGAAATAGTCGTTTCAGTGATCGAAGAGCACTAAAATATTCTTAGCTTACAATTAAAATCAATCAAAATATTGAACGGTAATTTCTCAATGATAAATACTATAGCAAAAAAACTAGCAATGAAGAAGAAAGTATACTAACCTGACTTGGAATATTAACAGATGTCCTGTGATAACACGCAAGCGCTTGAAGACTGGAAAATTTTCATGGGTGAAATTTGAACTTGTAATCATTGAAACCGAGAAATCACCCTCCATCACCGTACAATTAGCCAAAGTTGACCATTTGTCATTCGTTTCCTTGTCTTGAAATGCCATATTCGGACTATTCCGAATGTCCAACGAGCGGCAGTATACATCGTCATGGGCGGATAGCTGAAATGTATATATATATATATATATATATATATATATATATATATATATATATATA